GACCAACTTGTAATCTCGCACAAATGTTATATACCAAAATCCAGCCTCTTGCAAATTTTATTCTATCAGTGGGTGTGGCTTGGGCACTTTATGTAGTCGAAGACGAAGGACTCGCTGCTCGTCCTCCTACAATTAAATATTTCAAAAAAATTATCACAATCATAAAATAATATTCAAATATTTATTAATTATAATTCATTAAACAAATATTTTATTCACCATTATTCCCAAATGACTTGAAATATGCTCATTGTCAAGCCTCAACAGTGGAATTTGGTCAGCCATTGGAATGAATCTGTAAAAAAAATTAAACAACAATATTTAAAAAATCATTTAATATAATCTAATATAAACTAACTAACTAATTTACAACACTAAACTTTAATATAATAACTTATAATATAATAAACTAATAAACTAATAAACTAAACTTTTTAAAATATAAGTTAAACGTAAACGCTAAACCCTTAAACAACTAATAAAATATTCTTTTATATAACTAAAACTAACTAATAAACTATTTTTTCATTATAATATACTACTAATAAACTTACTAACTAATTTTTTATATAATATAAATTCAACAAACAAATATAACTTAACTATTTAACTAACACAAACTAATTAAATAATTTTTTATATAACTAACTATTAACAAAACAAACTAATTAATTATTTTTTAACTATATAACTATCAAACATATACTAATTAAATAATTTTTAATTTATGTATACTATAACTTAAACTAACAATCATATAACCCTAAACTAACAAACTAATTAACTGTTTTTTGTTTTACCCTAAACCCTAAACTAACAAATTAAACATTTATAATAATAAACTAATTTAAATATAAAAATTTTTACCTTATCTCCCTTTCTTCTTCTTACTTTCCTTTCTCCCTTTCTTTCTTTCTCGGCTGCAGTCTCTTCTTCCTTTCTTCGGTTGCAATCTCGGCGACCAAGCTCTGGCTGCAATCTCTTCTCCCTTTCTTTCTTTCTTTCTTTTATGTTCTCACGATAATGCACACCCCATATATAATTTAGGTGTCACCGGCTGCCTCAATTATTTCACCAATAATTGTGCAATTGCAGCTATGATAGCAGCTGATTTCACGCAGCAATGGTTCAATAATTGTACCAATAATTCACTGCTCAAATGGTTCACATGCATGCATCAATAGCTGTAGGCATGTAGCGGGGAGCAGGAGGGGAGCACGTGAAGGAATCTCAGTTGTGGCTGCATGTGCATGCATGAGGTCTCGTGAGCTAGGACTACATGGCGACCTACATGGTCGCCGGGACTACATGACGACCTACAAGGTCGCCCAGACTGCATGGCGACCTCTCCATTGGCTCGTATGGCTCGTATATGGCTTGTATGGCTCGTATTCGTATGTCACCCCGTATGTCGCCCGGATTGCATGGCGTCCTACAAGATCGCCTGGATTGCATGGCGACCTATGGCCATCACTGTAGAATTCACCCCATTTCAACAATTAATCTGGGATGTGCATTATCTCGTGAATAAAAAAGTTCGAGAACATTATCTCGTGAATTCACCCCATTTGCATGTAACCCACGTGTATTTTTTTTTAAAATTTATTTTATTGTATTATTATTTCCTTTTTTACTAACTTTTATTTATCTTTGTTATCTATTATATTTATTTTGTTATTATTATTATATTAATATTTTTTTCTTTTTTCATTTTTTTCTATTTTTCTACAATATAACATTTTTTACTTTCGAGGGATATTTTCAATCGATCAAAGGTAAGTAATTCGAATCAAATTTTTAAATTTAAATTTTAATTTTAATTTTTGCAATTAAAGACAACCGACAAATTAATTGGTACCGAAAGGGCGGTTCAAGGGTGCTAATCATTCTTTGACCGTAACCGACTCCCGAATCCGACATATTTATGGTAAAACGCAGATCAGGTAAGATGGTGTCCGATCAACCTAAATATTTTTTTAAAATGATCGGTGGCGACTCTAACCCAATTATTCAAGTCGAAGCCCAATTCCGGGTCTAGCCGAAAGACGGCTCCGAAAAATATAAAAATAACAATAAATTGAGTAAGTGAAAATTGAGTGAGTAAAATATGAGAGAGAATATAGTTAAGTGACTAAATTTATAATTTACCCTTTTTCGTTAAGATGCATCCTAACATCAAATTCTTTCCGGAAACAGTATTGATTTTGCCTTGAAACTGAATCCATCACAGTTTGTGTTTGAAGTTGTAAAGCTTACCTAGTATTGATTAAATTGATGAAAGTTGGTTTGATCCACTAAATTTGAAATGCATATTAGGGAATTGAAGTCCATTGTTTTTGCTTGAAGTGGCTATCTCTCGACCCCTTTTACTCGGTTGCTGTCACTTTCACTTTCCCATCTCATAAACTCTACGCCACTACAAACTTGTAAGGGTAAATTATAAATTTTATGACTAAGCTTTATTCTTTCTTCTAGTTTGTTACTTAATTTTAAAAGTTTTTAATTTTCTCACTGAATTTAATACATTAAATTTTTTTGTCACTATGGTGGAACTCAACATTATCTTGCGAGAGGGCCATTTTTTTAAATGTATATATTAATTAAAATATTTTTTGTACTTTTTTCATGTAAATTATATATCGAAATAATAAAAGTAAATTTTATAAATCTTTAAAATTCATTAGTTAACATAAAAGTTCGAAGAAACAAAGTTTATCTAATTTTTTTGTTTGTTCATGATCTCATACAACATGTAACATATAACAATAAAAATATATTAATTTAGTTTAGTAATAAATTCACATTATATAGAAATTTAAACAATAAATTTTGTATGTATATTTATATAATTAAGATATTTATAGACATTTTAATATATATATATATATATATACATGTGTCTTAATTTTTTTTGTTAGAGATGAAAATTCATGAACACATAATAAATTAAAATTATTTGAAATAAACCCATAATTATAAATTGAATTAAAAAATATTTAAAAATAATTGCTTCCAATTGCAATGAAATACTTGATAATTTGATTGATGTCCTCAACTCAACGAAAATCAACAATTCAAAGAAATGAAGAACCAAACAGGGAAAAAAAGAATTTTTTTTATATCTTGAAATGAGATATAAGAAAAGAAAATATATTTTTATTCATTTAAAAATAAAACAACAATATAGAAATATAAATTAATTCTTTTTAATAAATGATATTTAAGTATTTTTTAAAGATGTTTTTTAAATATGTTAAACTTAATAATTTAGGGTTTGGAATTTCGGAAAAGGGAAAATAACTCCGCATCATCAATACCATTAAATATTTAACGGTGGGGTACAAAACTGAAATCTAAACTAAACGATATATATGATTTAAAAAAAATAAAGTTTAAGTACCAAAATAGAACAAAAATAATAATTTATGTACTAAATATGTAATTTACCCGAATTTAATATATATATATATATATATTATTTTTTAATATTTTGGAGGGGACATGGTCCCCACTAGTCTTCACTAAGTTTCGCCCCTACAGTAAGTCGTTTTCTCACTAACGACATTATAAATGGACTGTTATATAAATACAAAATGACGTCCTTTTGGTGAAACTTTTATTTTTTAAAACAGTATCATTTTAACGTCGTTAACTATTTAACGACATAATGACAAAAAGAAAACAAATTATTAAGCTAAGTGAAAAAATTGAAAACTTTAAAGTTCAATGAACAAATTAGGAGAGCGAATAAAATTTAGTGATGAAATTTATAATTTACCCAACTTACAAATTCCTCTCAACACAAAACCACAACGGCCCCAGCCCATGAAATAAAATAATAGTACATGTCATCGTTTTGTTTAACCAAAATAAAAATTAAATTTTAATTAATTTTAGGGGTTTTATCCGTTTAGAGAATTGGACCAAATCCCGCCATTAAAGTAGATCGACGAATTAGTAAACTTCTGTAAAAGTTGTTTTTTTTTATTATTAACAATTCTGTAAAACTTAATTTACTTGTAAATATTCAATTTTTTAGTTGTTATTTTATAAACATTGTAGCAGTTTATCACTTTCTGGATATAAAAAAATCAGAAATTATTTTTTAAAAATAATAATAAAACCACTTAAGTCGTAATATATAAGCCAAGTAATTTATTTTTTTTCTTTTTATTTTTGAAGGGAGCTAAAAGGGAAAATCAATGAAAATCTGTAAAAAAAAAAAGAGAGAGGAAAATTATCTGTTATTTAATTTACTCTTGATTGTAACCGCCGAACTTGGATTATTTTTGACCCATTTTTATACAACGTTAAAAATACACGCTAAATGTTATTTATAGCTTTATCAAGGGGCGTATACCGGGCTTTTAGCAAATATTATTTGAAAAATTGAACAGACCTAATTTTAACAAGGGTAAAGTACACAAATAGTCCCTTGACTATAGGTGATGCTTTGTTGAGTCCTCCGACTATTAAAAGTTATAAAATAGTCACCTGACTATTTAGTATGTTCTAACCTCATTATTTTCAGTTAAGAATTTGAAAACAATATGAGTTGTATTTTAACCTATTGACTGAGATATGATAGTTTTTTGAGATTATGAGATCATATTTTTATCATATTTAAGTCAACAGGTTAACATCTACCTCAGAAGGTCGTCAATTTTTTAAGGAAAATGACGAGTTTGAAACATATTAATTAGTCGGGTGATCATTTTATAATTTTTAATAGTCGGAAGCATCACTCACTATTTGTGTACTTTACGCTTACAAAGGCTTTTAAAGCCAAGTTATTGATAAATCAAGTTAAATGTCTACCTTTTAAAGAAAATTCTAAAAGAAAATTCTAAAAGAAAAATCGGATATGTTCGACAGTTTTACACAGGAACTGGGTTTAGGGTTTCTTTTTTTCACTTGTCAATATTATATATGTATATAAACCATATACAAGTTATTTGTGCGTTTCAATAGAATAATTTAAAAGGATCGAAAGAGAGATTATGGTGAAAGAAACTGCAGGGAGAAAGTGTTCTCATTGTGGACATAATGGTCATAATTCGAGAACTTGTCACGTGAATGTGAGGAATTGTAACGGGAAAGGAACGAGTGTGAAGATTTTCGGTGTTAATATAAGTGGTATGGATCAAAAGCAAGAAAATCCGATGAAGAAAAGTTTTAGCATGGGAAATCTACAATCTCATGCAGAAAACAACGACCGCGTTGCCGATGATGGTTACTTTTCCGATGGACATATTCATTCTAAGAAACACAAAACCTCCCATGAAAGAACCAGAGGTATATTTTTACATTATGAAACGTGGTGAATCTGTTAACAATTGTGATTTTGAAATGTGGGATTTGGTCAAGGAAGCCATGGACGGAGGAGGAGCATAGGATGTTCTTGGAAGGTTTGAGAAAGCAGGGGAAAGGTGATTGGAGAGGGATTTCAAAGAATTTCGTTACAACGAGGACCCCAACACAAGTTGCAAGCCATGCACAGAAATATTTTCTCAGACAAGCGGTGAATGACAAGAAGAAACACAGGTTTTCTACATATTATTATATGAGCCTGGGGTTTCAACCACCCATGGTATGCCATTCATTCATTTTCCTTTCCTCTGAGATAGATACCTGATGTTTTAATTATTAACAGGCTGGCCCAAGGTTTTCAGAAGCAAAGCTGATGGCGTCTTTACCATTGATGCATGTAGGACCGGTTAAAGGCTCGGGAAATGTAGCTCATCCCTCTGGTATACCTTCGCCAAGGTCCATGTTTCGAGTTGCCCCATCAACAGAAAAAGATCTTCTGGAGCTGAAGATCGGCCCCCCTCAATCACCTAAAAATACTACAAGTCTACCATCTCATGCATCCATTAGGGTGATTTGAAAAGGAAAAAAAAAGGTTATGTGATGTTGATTTATTCATTTTTTCCTCAACAAGCTGATCGACCACAATTAGAACTAGGGTGAACATTCGATCGAGTCGAGTAAAAAATTTTAAGTTATTCGAGTTGACGAATCGTATTTTGTAACTCGAACTTAACTTGAAAATTTTTCAAGTCTAGTCGAGTTTAAGAAACTTGAGTTGGGTTATTTTAGTTTCTATACAAATTTTATTATAATTGTTTATAGTATTATGGTAAAAATTGATTCTAATATTTTTATTTTGACGGTAAAGTATTGATGAGAGTATAAAATAGTCAAACAATTGTTAGAAAGAAAGAATTTGCAAATATTGTAGTCAAAATATCAAATTGAGTAAAATGCAAAGTTAATGGACTAAATAAAAAGAGAGTATATTTCTAGTAAAAAATATAAGTTGAAGTTACATAGGTATTTTATAATGGTATAGGAGCATGTGGATCAAATTTGGTAAAACAATGAACTTAAAATGAAGGATGAATTAAAGAAATAAGAAAATCATGAAAAGTTGAGGGACTAAATTGAAAAATTAAAAAATGTTATCAAAAAGAGGAATTGAAAGCATATATATATAGTCTAGGTGGTTTAGGAACATGTGATTCAAATTTAGTAAAAAAATGAGCTTAAAATGAATGAGGAAATGAATGAATAAGGAAATCATGAACTAAATCGTAAAACTATTAAAATAGTCATTCAAATTTTTTATTTTTCGAGTAACTCTAAATTTCCAAATTCCATATCGACTCGAACTCAAGAACCGAATCGATAATTTGAGTTGACTCGAATAACTCAAAATAAAAAAAAATTGATTTTTTTAATCGAGTCGAGTTTTACTCATCCATATCCATTATCTTTATATCTTTGTACGAAACACAAATTTATACGATTCGTCATGCTCCCAAAATATAAAATAAAATTACAAATTAACTATCATATTATTTCAAGTATTTATCTTTCACATTTGATTTCATGAATACTGCAATTATTATGGGAAATTAAAATGGAGGAAATATCAAAAGAAATAAATAAATGTCTCAATAATAATAATAATCTGTAGTACGGCCGGTTTTTAATATGAGCTTCCATTGCCATAAAAACCTGGTCAATTTCATCCGCAAATGCCCATTTAGAGAACACATGCAGTGTTATTGTAAGTCAATAGTTCATGAAGACGTAAGCAGCAGCTGTTAAAATGGAATCATAATAAACATAAAATCAATTAGTATCTAAATTATCAAGTATAGAAAACTAGATGAAGAAGCGAATTATCGATAGGTTAGAATCTTTAAATACTTTTTTTAGTTGTGATATTCCAAGCAGATATGTTTATTCTTGTTGTAAAAACTCTCTGACAAGATAAGAGTAATACGAGATAATCTATTTCTTAGGGACTATAACCTTTTTACATAATTGATTTAGAAATCAATTATTATTTGTACTTATAACTATATTCCTCATCAAATTATAAATATAACTTTAATAATATCTAAATTTTTATTTTCATCATACTTTTAATACTTTATAACTTTATAATAATTGATTATATATATATATATATATATATATATATATATATATATATATATATATATATATATATATAATATATATATATATATGTTCACGATTATAAATTTTAATCTAACAACAACGAGTTGAACTACTTTTACCCTACTGAATGCTGGCAGTAAGGTCACGTCGCTTCCAGGCAGGAATTTGTTTATTCATCAGACTACGTAATAGGATTGATATTTTCATTATAATTCAGCTCCTCCTTAACTCAGTTATCTAAGAATCGTTTTTTAAATGAAAAGTTGTCATTGCAAAAAAAAAAAAAAAATTGCTCAACTTTTATATTTAAGAAATAAAATCACTTTGATTTGATGTCATCACTAACATGACATTATTTTAAATATACAATTATAGTTTCATTTATATATATACATTATGTAAAAATTCACATGAAAAAAATCATCTTCTTTTTGTTTATCAATCCCCTAGTGCTTATGATATTAATTTCAGATTTTTTATTTTCTTAAAAGGAATGTGTACTTATAAACTTTTATTGAGTAGCTTGTATTATATGAATACATTAATACTATCAAATTAAATTATGTATTTATCATATTTTTAGGGTACAATACACAAATACTTCCTCAACTATAGGATATTGCTTTGTTAAGTCCCTCAATTATTAAAAGTTACAAAATGGTCCCTCAATTATAGGGAGTTGCTTTGTTGAGTTCCTCGACTATTAAAAGTTACAAAAATGATCACCCAACTATTCATTATGTTCTAAACTTGTCATTTGCCATTGAAATATTAACAGTCGTCTGAGTTGAATGTTAACATGTTGACTAAGATATGATAGTCGTTTGAAATTATAAGATCATATTTTATCATATCTCAGTTAGCAGGTTAACGTCCAACACAGGCTGCCATTAATTTTTTTTTAACAAAAATGAGTAGTTTAAAACATAATGAATAATCGAGTGACAATTTTGTAACTTTTAATAGTCGAAAGACTCAACAAAACAACTCACTATAGTTGGAGACCATTTTTGTAATTTTTAATAGTCAATGAACTAAAAAATAATATCCTATAATCAGAGGGCCATTTGTGTACTTTGCCCTATTTTTTTATATTACGCTATCAAATATATCGTTTATTAACCTCTAAGAAAAAGCCTCGGTAATTAATAATTTATCTAAAAAGATCAATTTATAATTATTGTATAACTCGATTCAACTCTCAAGTGATAATCCAATCACATTCTCATATCCACAAAGTAGTAAAATAGAATATTGATGAAAGTATCAAAAATAAGGAAATAATCATGGCGTTCCAATTACCATACGTATAAACAAGAAAAGTGTTGAATTAATCAATGAATTGGGGATTAAGGAACATGTGCAGTTTCCTTGAATGATTCTTATGTTTGGGTTCCGCCATAGGCAAAAACCCGGTTTGAGTTCCATCACTGTCGTGATCTATGTCTCCTTCTATTGTCAATCCATCGAGTTTTTCTGCTACTGTCTCAACTTTGGTACCCACATCCACGTCTGCATAAGGGAAGGGACATATAGGATATTATTGATGACAACTAGGCATGTAAATGAACCGAACGAATATGAATGAGGGTATGTTCATATTCGTTCGTTTAACTTTAACTGTACAAATGAACGAACACGAATAACTAAATGAATAAAATTTATTGTTCATGTTCGTTCGTTAAAGAATGAAGCTTATTTGTGTTCGTTAGTTAAAATGATAAACGAACGAATGAACACAAACGAACAAACGTAAACGAACATTAATTGAGTTTAAAATTATTTGGCTTTAAAATATTAATGGGTTTAAGGTTAACATTTATTAAATCTTTATATTTTAAACGATTCAGAAGATTGAGATGAATATAAATGAACATAAACAGTAGTGGAACTTGGTGATTGAGTTTGGGGGGACAACTTAAAACTTTAAAAAATGTATAGGTTTACATTAATTTTTTCAAAAATTTTGAAGGGTTCAATTTATATATATATTTTTAAAAATAGTCTAACCAAATTTTTTGAAAATTTGAGAGGCTTAATGATAATTTTTAAAAATTATGGGAGAGATTTTAATTAAGAATATTTAATTTTTTTAAAGATTTATATGAATTTCTAAAAAAAATTATGGAGGGACAAATTAAATATTTTGAAAATTTAAAGGTCTAAAGTATGACTTTTCAACAAAAAAAATTTGGGGGCATGGCCTGAGTAGTCTTCATTGTGTTCTGCGGTTGAACATAAAAGAACGAACATAAAAGAATAAACATAAAGAAATAAACATAAACGAATGGATTACAGAACATTAACCAAAGTATTTAAACTAACGAACACTTTGTTTATGTTCGTTTATTTAATTAAATGAATAAAAAAATCTTATTCATATTTATTCGTTTAATAATTAAACAAACAAACTTTCAACCGAACGGTTCGTTAAACGTTGTAAACGACCCTACCTGGATTGGAAAAGAACCAGAGGATCAAGGCACAAAGAAGCAGCACCAAAGGGATTATATGGACAGCATTCTCAGCGAACTTAGCCCTTGACCTGTCTTTCTTATTAGCCATCTCTACGTTGGGATCATAAACGGGGAGTTCATTATTGTCGTCCATCGACGATGACATTTTCATCCCCGTAATATTCCCCGCCTTGGGCGACGGATAATACCCATCCGTAATTCTGCTCCAGCTCGATGATCTATACATCGACTCTCCTATATCACAACAATGTTCTTTCTTTCATATTAACATGTTTTTGTAGCAATTCAATTCAACTTTCTCATTCTTATCCGACTATTTTGCCTTATTGCTCGCGTATCTAGACTTTGTCAATAGTTTATTATTATAAAAATCAATATATATTTGGGTAAATTGACCACCTAATTATTGTCAATTTTCATTTTGATCAAAATTTTTAAAATTTTGTCCATCAAATCAGCAAACTATTTAAATGCATTCAATCAAGTCACTTTTCGTTAACATTTAATAGAGAAATTGACATGACAGTTAAAAAACTTAATATAATTACACATTTGGTCACTGTCATTTACATATTCTATCAATTTGATCATAATTTTAATAAGTTAAAATAAATTTAATATTCGAATCAAATCGTGCCATATGTCACTAGTGCTAAGTGTCATGCATGACACATGTCACCATCCGATTAGAGGATTAAAATTATTTTAATTTACTTTAATTACATAGATTTATTTTCCACCCCTCTGGTAAAAAGAAAATTATGGGCGCTGAAATAGGGGAGCATGGGATTCGAATCTACCTTCCTTGGATGTTAAGAAAACAATTTAACCACTGAGCCAAGGAGACTTCTGGTTTAAGGGAGACTACATAAGGAATATATCTTGTATATTTGTCTAAATTTAAATTCTTAATATTTTATATATCTTAAATTAAATTCACATATTAAATTAATATCTTAACAATAAAAATATATTTTTATTTAATCTTAAATTATAAAATATATTTTATTCTTATATTGACTTAAAAATATATTTTATTCTTATTTTAACTTAAAAATCTATTCTAGTCTTATCTTAACTTAAAAAAGTATAATTTATTCTTATCTTAACTTAAATATTTATATTTTATTCTTACAACATTTTAAAATTAAGGTAAAAAATAAAATATATTTTTCAGTTAAGATAAAAGTAAAATATATTTTTAAATTAAAATAATAATAAAATATTCATTTTTAAATTAAAATTAAAATTAAAATTTACATTTGTAAGTTAGATAAGAATAAAATATATATATTAAGTTAAAATAAGAAAAAATTATATTTAATAATTTAAGGTAAGAATATAATATATTTAATAATTTAAGAATATAATATATGTGTCGACACTCGTTTTCGTCCGAACCTTTTATTTATTTATTTCTATTTTTATTTTATTTATTTTTATGTTATTTTATTATTATTGCAGGCTTGTTACAAACTAAAATCGGACCGCAATTACAAAGGGCCAACTAGCCCAAACCCTTATAAAATTGACCCGAAAGCCCAAATGCGAGAAGCCCACAAAATGAAACCCAAGTAGTTAGGATTTCATACTTTTCTACAGCCGCCTAGTCTCTCAACTATTAGATCAGGTGTCATCCAACGATGCATATTGAAGGATATTAGGGTTTCATCATAACCCATCAACCGTTAACACTCCTCAATCGTTGGATCTGATAAATGATCCAATGGCTCTGATCACTTGGAAAAGGTGGACCTTCCAAGTTTCACGCGTGTGGCCCACATGATGACAGTTCGGCTCCCACGCACCTTTCTAGCTTCTAACCACCGTCGCTTCCCAGCCGTCGCCGAGATGCCAGTCGCCAATCACCTCGGTTCTACCAAATTTCCTGTTTCACCCAACCAAAATGAAAAACAATAAGTCAAAAAATAAAATTTAATAAACACTTAATCAGAACCTAATCCGAAAAATCTAGGGCATTCAAAGCCCCAATTTTTTATCACTTACTGTCCGTACTCCTATTTTTGCAACCTAACCCCTATTCTCACCAGACCACAAGCATGCAACCATGATAAAAAGGAGAAAAAAATAGAGACCATAAAAAGGTTTCGGTTTTAAAGAAAAATAAGTGAAAAACATGAGGAAAATCGGGAAGAAAAAAGAGAGGTTCAGTTCAAAAAAAAAAAAAAGAAAAAAAAAGAAAAGAAAAGAAAAAAAGAGACAAAACATAGGAAAGAAAATAGACAAAAGGAAGCCTTATCGTCAAATTCGAACCGTCTCGCTTTGCCGGAGTAGTAAGATCTCAAAAGGTAGCCTTTATTTTTCTTTTTCTAGTGTGGTAAGACATATAGTTTGTAGTTTGGGAGAGGGTTTTGTTTAGAGGTTGAGCGTGATTGTTAAAGGGCTGGTGAACTCCTCATCGGGGCTGTTAAGAGTGGTGGCCAGAGGGATTAAAAAAGTTCAAACATGGGACTCGAAAAAGAGACCAACAAAAAGAGAGAAATCGGGGGGAGGGGAGGCCAAGAAAAAATAACAAAAAATAGTTTGAAAAAAATAGAACGAAAAAAAGGAAAAGAAAAAGTTTACCCTCGAGCTCTTGAGGATGGTGGCTCCGGCGTTCGGTTTGTAAATCCGAATGGTGGAAGAACGTCTCTTGGATGAAAGGCCAACATATCTCGATCTCATGACGATATGATAGTGGAAAAGCTAGATCGAGAAAGTGAAGAGCCAAAAAGTCTTTGGCTTTTTCGTGGAGTTGGGGGTCGATTCTCACAAAACTAAGGCTAGATCCAAGCTCCCGGCATCGAGGCGAACCTTTCCTTGAAGGTAGGTGACGAACGCCCGTCAGAAGGTAGCGGAGCACGACGGCTGGTGAGAGCACCCACCGACACTTGTAGAGAGGGGAGAGATTCTCTCTCTACTAGAAAAAAGAAAGAAATGAAATTAAAAAAGGATAAAAAAGGAGTTATATAGCTTATTCAAAAAGACGTAGTTTTGAGGCCTGAGTACTCTGAATTCGCTCATAGGTTAATTACGCAAAAAAGGTATCTACCTTTGTAAGCTTTCCATTTCAGTCACTAATTGAAAGTTTCATTTATTTTAATTTGGTCTTTAAATTTTGTGTGTGTTTCATTTTAGTCCCTTTTGTATCTTTGTTTATATTTCACACTGTTTATACATTTGGCATGTTATTTCCAGAATTTCTTTTCAGCCCCACGCATGCTTATGGTTTTATTGTGATTTTAGTGCCTGGAATATATGATGTTTGTGCTTTATGTTCAATGTTTGCTTAATTTACAGATTATGTCCTCATATTTGCAATTCCTTTCAATTTACTCATTGTTTTGGTTCTTTAGTTTATTGGTATGTTTGATCCTAGTTATTTCGGTCATGATAGGGTCTAATGCTTTTTAAATAATTAATATAGATTGTTTAGATCTCATGTTTTTGTTGGTCATTCATTTTAGTTCCTATATATATATCTATACATATGTATAATTTTTTTAGTGATGTCTTCATTATGTTTTATTAGATATTAAATATAAATATGTGGTAATATTCTTTTTACATGTTTTATAAATCGTAATTTTTTTTAAATGTATTACGTATATATTTTCATTTGTTTGTAAATTTGGTTACTTGCCATCATGTAAATTTAGAATTTGGTGCATATAGAGTTAGGATTTAATTTCAATTAATTGACATGGTACCCTCATAAGCATTTCTAGACTCGAATCAAAATAATTTGTGTAAGGGTAATATTCGTTCATTTTAAGATTGTTGTGAAGCGACTACCTTAACGTATAAGAAAGTTACTTTCAATACATTTAAAATGAAAGTGTATCCCATTAAATGACACGAATAAAATTGATTACTTTTAAAATTTGGGGACTGAGAAAAAATCATGTTCTTTTAATTAAATTCACAGAGAAAAGACTGTTAGATCGAATATAAGGTTTTGTCTCGATGTATTTAAATAATTGAAAATCCTTAGTCTAATTAAATGTTGGTAAAATAAATAATTAATCGTACTTGTTTGATCTGCTTTAAGGTATGAGAAGTCGATTATACTCGATAGGAAATAATTAAATATTATTGTGTTTTATCCTAAAATTCAAACGATATTATTTGTATGGGATATTAAATTAAATTTGAACTCGTAAATTTCATTAGAAAAACAACTAATTAATTGAATAAGTATCGAATTAGGGCGTTGTGGAGGTGCTAATCATTCCGAACGCGTAATCGACTCCTGAACTTAAATCTTTGGTAATGCATATCGTAAATTTTTTGTTTTAATTAAAAATTAATATTTTTATTATAATGAAAAATATGTTTTTGGGTTCCCAATCACACTCTAATCAAATATTAGTGGCGACTCCTCGAATCACATTTTATTATTAACATGTCACTAAATTATTCTAAATAAGATTTTTTAAAAATCAGATTTAAAAAAAATAAATTTGTTTTTTAAAAAAACATTTTTACAGCTTGGCGACTCCGCTGGGGAGTTTTTTTAGAGAGTCAAGCCGATAGTCAATTAATTAGTTGTCTTTGCAAATGAAAATTACAAGTTCATTCTAATTGGTTTTTGATCCCTTGTGTGGTTTAAATAAAATTTTTCTTGTAATTTGATTAACTACTAAATAGTTGTACTGATTTGTTTGTTAATTTTTTCAGATTAATTGTGTCTTTATTGGATTTGAGGAATGAGTTTGTGTGTTGTGCAATTTTGTCTATTCCTCTTTTCCTCACACACTGCATAGTTGTATTTGCATAACATGATGTAAAACTCTGCTCCATTTATCGCTTGTAAATGTATATGCTAAGGCAAGCAATTATGGGCAAGCATACACAATTGAATCAAATAATATAAGGTAAGCGAGTTATCGTCTCCTCAGGGATTGGTCGATCCTTTTTAAGCTTCACCACAAACAGAACTAGTTGTCATAAACTAATTTCTACAGTCTTGTCAAACTAGAAAACTATTAGTAATAAAGTAAGAAAATATTATAAAGTGTTGAGTTAATCGATTGACGAATATGGCCAAGAGGGGGGGGGTGAATTGACAATTAAAATTTTGGTGGAAGCTTTTGCAGAAAATTGAAAGAAATTTGCATAGTGATTTAGAGTGGTTCGACTTTCTCAACCAAAGTCTACGTCCACTACCTTAGCTATCCACACTAAGGATTTTCCACAAATTCACTAATTTGTCTTTCTTTTAAGGACAAAGAGTAACCTTACA